CAGAAAGTTAGAAATTAATAATTTTCTTATAACAATAATTGTAAAAATGAAAGCTAAGAAAAAAAAAGAAAACTAAGAAGTTTATAATCCTTACTATATATCATCCTTTCAACAATCATATAAAGCAGGTACCATCATTTGACTCACTTTGTAGATAAGGAAATGGGGACAATGCAGGGACACAGGTCAGTGGCACAGCACCTGATGGCCAGCACAGCTCCTGCCTGAGTTTGAGTCTCAATATCAAAAAGGAAATATAGGCAAAAGGAAAGGAAACAACTCGGCTAATTTCATAAGCCTAACAGAAATGGCATTCTAACTCTGGTAATCTTTATTTTATAGCTCACATTCTTAACTGCAATGTGAATAAATGCTCAATAAATTTATATAAAATAAACAAAGGGGACACTGGATTTACATTTTTTTAAGTAGAGAATATTATTTGTTCTCCACTCTATGTGATGCCTTTAATTACAAAAGCATGTCCACCTTGAGAAATTCCTACAGAATGAATTCAGCAGGCACACACAGTACCTGTAGTGAGCCTCTGGGGGATGAGTGAGCACAGCCCAGCACCTGACCTGCAATTTCATTTACACACTTACTGAGATTTGATAAATGAGGGTAAAATTTAACCAGTCTGTCTGAGTTCTAAATGAATATAGTTTCAAAGAATAAAATTTGTCCTTTCTTACTTTTATTATTTAAGACTGTTTTTGGCTTTTAGAAATCCACGTTCAGAGATCTAAACAGACAAATACCAAGTATAATTGCTGTAGTAATGAACTGATTCATACCACTGATTTTTGTAACTTAAAGCTAAAAAGTTAATAGTTATTAGTAGGTAGCTCCTTATCTTACAATTAAAAGAAATTCAGAAATTAAATTTGCAAGTATTTCCATAATAAAAAACAAGTTATTAAATCCCCAAGATACGACTTTCAAATGTGGAAAAAAAGGGGCTGGAGAGATAGCTCAGCAGAGTAAGTGCTTGCCTGGCAAGGGCCTGAGTTCAATCCCCGGTTCCACAAAAAGAAAAAAAAAAGGGGGGGGGGATGTTCAAAATTAATTTTAACTAGCAATACTCCAAAATATACATACTGGATCAGGTCGAAAATTAATTCTCATTTACCATAATGTAACAAATTTAATTCTGAATTAACAATTTAGTAACGGTACAGATGCATCCTATTACCTTCTTCAAGTTCCAGCTCTTCTTCTCGATCCTCTTCATCTTTGTTACTATCAATAACTGTTTGGACAAAATGGATGTTTTAAAACTGTACTAATACACATAAGTCAGAGACCATAAAGAAAAACAGGGAACTGTTTATCACAGAACTCAAGATAATTATACCTGTGGGCAAGGAGCAATTAATGATTCAAGGGAACACAATACAAGGGCCTACATGCTGGCAGTACTTCTTTCCTGCCTAGACTTCGTTCCTAGTTTTATGACGGTATATGATACGTGACAAATCATGTAAGTTTAAGTTTTCATTTCTTCCTATGCATTTTATCTTACAAAATAGACAAAAAGATACATTAACGATGCTCATAAGGATGGGGCACACATCTGTAATCCTACCACCATAGCAGAAGACTCACAGTTCAGGACCGCCCTGGGCTATACAGCAAATTTAAGACCAGCCTGGATCATAACAAACAAATATCATACACACTGCTAAGAAAAGGCCAAAGGTAATATGTTCTAAACAAAAGAATTTAGGGCCAGGAAGTAGCTCACTGGTAGAGCATGTGCCAATAGCATACATAAGGCAGTGGGTTTAATCCCAACGCTGCAAAAGAAAATAAAGCAAAACAGTTCAGTGAAATGAATTATTGGCAATGAAAATCAAACCCTGAGCTTCAGTTATAGTCACAGTACAACAGATACCTGATACAATCATCTCTACTTCTGGTCAAATCATCAAGCTTGCTCTATAACTGCAGCTACCCCTTATGTAGACATAAGTAAATGCCAAAATAAAACTAAACTTTGAATAAAAAAATTGGTTTTAATATTATGAGCCAAAGTTTAACTAATACATCAGTCAGTTTGACTCACCAAGTTTCTCTCTGGTCTGTGGGATTATACCACTTTTATCTTTGATAGGAAGCAAGTGAATCAGTTCCTTCTCTGGTGCACTTTGCAAAGTTCTTGGTATTTTCTCATACTTATCTATGACACGCTCATGTTTTCGTTTCTTGGCATGAACTGGCTCACTGCAGAAAAACAACCCTATTTTCAATTTCAATATATCGTAAAAGGTTGGTGGACTATAAACTAGTACAGCCATTTTGGATATCAGTACAGAGATTCCTCAAAACACTACAAACAGAAATTCCTCTTGACCCAGCTAGTCCCATTCTATAACTCCTTCCAAAGGTTAAAATCATCAAATTATAGAGATACACACATAGCCTATTTATAGCAATACAGCTCAACGATAGCCAATCATGGAATGGCCTACATACCTATCAACAGATGAATGGACAAAGAAAATGTGGTATTTATACACACGATGGAGAACTAGTCACAAGGGAGGACAAATGTGAGTTATCTGTAGGAAAACATAAGTGAACTAAATAGATAAGCTTAAATATCACACAATTTATCTTATATGAGAAACCTAAAATGTGAAGTGCAAAATAAAAGATAATAGGAAATACAAAGATCTCCAAAACATAAGAGAACTAGAGATGGAGAGGAGAGAAAAGACTAAAGATGTGTTAGTACATGTTCCAACTCCCCATGAAGACTGTAATCATAATGTACTGCAAACATATATTAGTAAAAAATAAAAATTGAAAAACTATATACATATCTTAACACGCTCCCACCAGCTTGAAACCCAGTGGTTGCATGACCCTCCCACTGGACAGCTTGAACCACTGTTGGTACAAATGGAGCTAGTCATTTTTGCTGTACTGGGGATCGAACTTGGAACCTTATGCCACTGAGTTATCTCCCCAGCCCCAGGTCTAATCACTTTTATTGGTCTTTTTACTAATAATATTATTAAGAAGTATCTAAGTGGACCAAATCTAGCTAGTTCCATGAATCTGAATAATTACTGCTCAAATATAAATACTAATACTATTCATACCAATTAAAAATTATTATAATAATCATCAAACTTTTATCATTATCTTGAAAGAAATTTACTTATATTCATGAATACTTCACCAATAATTTTCTAAATTTTAACATGGAAATCTTATAAGCACCCCATTGCTAATGTACATAATATGGCTTCACAACTGCTATACCACAAACAGGCTGTATTACAATTTTTTTATACAAGGTCTCATTATGTAGTCCAGGCTAGCCTCAAACTCACAGCAATCTTTCAGTTCAGCCTCATGAGTGCTAGGATTTTTTTTTTTTTAATCAATTCAGTTTTCTACTGATCACACAGCATTTAAAATAAACATACAGAAATCACAGCTCACCTATTTGAAGAAACATGGTATAC